TCAATACTACCGAAAAGTTGCAACTTCACTACAATCGGTCGTAATTAATTACCTCAATGCGGCAACACCACTAACCATGACACTGTATTTTCGATTTATTACTCGCGATAAATAAATAGAAGAGCGCTATGGTCTTACATAAATAAAGTTCATAATGACTCAATGACAGTTGAAGGTTACACGGGCTGAGATAAAAGTAAAATCGGATAAATATTCTAGAAATATCTGGTACTGATTTTTTTTTTGAATTTTGAATTTTGAATTTTGGCCCATCGTGACAACATATCGGGAGCTGATAGAGCTATCAATAGCTGATATCTTTATCAGCTCCCGATATGTCTTTGTTATTGTCACGATGGGCGCCAAAAGCCAGTGCCTAATACTTATCTGATATACTTTATTTCAATCTGTGTAAATAAAGCAAATTCTGATTTGTAAATTCAATTCTGTAACAAAATAAACCCGAAATTATAAAATAAGTTGAATAAAAGTAAAGTCACTTCCAAGTTCGATGGTCGGAAGTTTGATAAATGTTACCTATAATAAATTGTGTTACTCAATAGTGGTGCAAAACCTTGTAAAACAATAATAATATTGTAACGTATTTGTATTTTAAATGCAATTTATTAGCGTTAGAATTTTTTGTTCTTCTCATTTAAAATGAATTATAATAATTCAGATAACCATAAAGTATCAACTGATTTAGACCCTTATGACCTTGGAAACAATTATCAAAATGGAATAGGGGTTGAAAAGGATGAACATAAGGCATTTATTTATTATCAAAAATCTGCAGAGATGGGGAACGCTAGTGGTATATATCAAATTGATCAATTCCAATCCTTCAAATCACATCCAATACATTCTGACCCATACCGCATTGGACTTAATTTAAAAGCTTGGACCAGCGGAAAGAAAAATCTATATGCGCAATCACACAGTTATGTCTTCGAAGAATTGATTTTTTTTATATTAAAATATCTCTAATGTAATGTTATAAATTTGGCATGAAATGTAATTAATTGCACAGTGCATAACGATAACGATGGTTTCCCTAGCGCTAACCTATTCCAATTCCAGATCACTCGTGTAACGTGTTACCATCTTAAAAAAATCCAGATTGCATCTACACATCCTCTTTATTATATTCAAAATGTCGACGTCTACTACAGAGACTCAATCTTCGACACCAGTGGTAGCATCAACACTAGAAACCAGAACGGCAGGACCAATTACGATCAAAGAAGGCGATATATATTTTGAAAAGGATGTATTTACTCATACACTTAAATACGCAACAGGGTTTGGAGCTTTTGGGTTATTAATGTCAGCGGTACAGAATGCAATAACTAGACACGACCATGGAGCAGCAGGAGTCATTACTAGAACAGGAAAAATTATTACAGGATATGGTAGGTATAAGAGAATTATATATTATTCAAAAAGTTAAGCGTATAATAAAATATTTAATGGAGTTAATTTTGGAGTTTGATTATTTAAATTTGTTTAAAAATTATTCAAACAGTAATTGCATAATCAAAGAAAAAGAATTTATTTTCTATTGAACCAAAATTTAAATTTACAGAGCACTCAAAACTTACAAATATTAATATTAATATTATTTATAATAGCTTTAGTAGGAGGTATATTTGCAGGAACAGAATCCATAGTCGCGAATGTTCGTAAAACAGATGATTGGGTCAATGGAGCCGTTGCTGGATGTACGGCAGGATTAACAGCAGGAATAAGAGGTATTTTCAACTGGTGATTTATACATATAATCGAATTTTTTAATTAGTTTTTGTGTCAATTTCTTGTTGAAATTTGTATGCAAAAAAAGTTATTGCAACACGACATAGAAAATTGTGTAGTGATTAATTCTTATAATTTATTTTAATCATTTTAATCTTATTCTATTTTTATTTTATTTTGAATTCTCTAATTTAAAAAAAAAAAAAATACTTGATTGGCGATTAAAACAAAAGCACGTTCATACCCGGTTGCGTTCGGAGCTTGTTTTGGAATGGCAACTATTTTATCAGTATACGATTGGGCTGGACAATGGCAAGGATTAACTAGTGGAATGACAGACGTTAGTATTCTTATATATTTTTATATATATTTATATAAGGGGAAGGGTGATAATGTAATGAATTTAATGTCTCGTGATACAATGATCAGAATCATACGACGTTTTTGCAATTTTATTCTGATCAATGGATTACTATACATTCGATTTACAACATTATCCACCTTTGCTATAATATATTTTCAATCACGATTATTGACATTGTTTTTCTTTTATCCTTATTTATGATTTTTGATCGTTATCAAAAATAGCAAGAAAAACGAGAATGGAAAAAGAAGATTTATAAACATCCATCACCAACACTTCCAGAAAGACAATAACTTTCTTGTAAGTTATATGATCACGTAGAATTTAGAATATTTTATATTCTAGTTTAATTAGGACTAGGGTTTATTAAACTGGCACTTTTAGTGTCGTGTTTCCTGTCTTTTAGGATATTTAATCAAATTCTAAACTAGTGTATATGGTACATGGTGATAGTATAAGAAGAACAAATTGGGTTATCATGTATATCACTAGAATAGTAAAATCGACTTCTTTAATGTATTGGTAATCTACAATTCTAAAGAGTTATTAAGAGTCATTTAGGGTTATTGCAAATAAATATAGCAATAAATTTTTGATACTTAACTGTAGACATAATATTGCATATAACGAAAATCTGGTTATAGAATTATAACTATTTTAATAGTAATTAATTAGTGCATCATAACGATAAGTTTAATTTGCCTACTAGATTGAAATTAGATATGAAATGTTAAAGGTGCGAGTAAAAATACAACAACAAAACCATTGAATATACCAAAATAATAGAATTTGTAGTTTCAACAATAAATAAACAAATATTCGAAAGCGAGAAACATCAAGAAAAGGTTTGCTTAAAAATGGAAAAAGGTTTTGTTTACATACTTTAATAGGGATGGATCGTTACTAGTGCTATTTCAACGTTAAAAAGCATAATCATCATTAATAGACCGACAAAGTGTTCACATAAATATTTCCATATTCACAATTATGTAATAACTGGTAACCCCTAACTGCAAAAATTTTTATAATACTAATAATGAATATAATTTGGTGCATTTTATATAATTCCCGCATAGGTAGAATAAACAGTTTTGTCTAATTTAAAGACAACTGAATATTTTTGAAATTTTTTACAAGACAATATTAAAATTTAAAGATTAATGGTTTTGATTTTGCTAATTCTTGCATCTCTATTCTATTAATTTTTCAACTTGATGATTCTTCAGTTTTCATATAATTCTCTGTCGATAGTACATTCCGCAACATAAGCTGAGTTATTGCAGTTGATGTAGCCAAAAAATCATCAGGAACGCTATCAGTAAAGTAAGAAGAATTTCTTGTCAAAGATAGAATAAGTATAAAAACACATGTTTTTACAAAATAAAAATTAATTGGCCATTTTAACAAAATAAAAAATGTTTGTAAAATATTTGGAGTATAAAAAGATATAGAAAAAAAAATTTCTAAAAAATTGGGTATATAAAGAAATATAAGAGCAAATAAATCTAATAAATCATAAATATAACAAATCAATAAAATTAAAATTAAAATTGCGGAAACTAATAATAATCCAAATAATATAAGAAATGTCAAATTAATTGAATCTAAAGGACGTTCATTAATAATAACACTAATCCAAAATGCTGGAATAACTATTACAGGAAAGAAGACTAAAAACCAAAAAATAATTTCGGTGTAAGGTTTTGCTTTAGACCCTTTAATTGTTTCATGCTTAATTATTGCGTATACAGCAAAAAATACATGCAAACACATGTTTATAATAGAAAACACTTTTATTGGTAACGTATCTCCATAAGTAAAAGCAACTATTAGTGGAATCGTCCAAGTAATAAGATTATATAATATATCATCTATTAATGGTAATGCCACTTTCTTTATACGTCCAGATTCTCCTCTGACATTAAATAAAAGGACGAAAAAGATTGGAAATAACGAGTTAAGAATAGCATCATATAAATCTTGTTGAGATGAATAAGAATAATCTATAATAGATGCTGTTGAAAGTTGAAGAAATGAAATGGAAATAATTTTTCTAACGATTAAGAAAAGAATTTTCATGATGGATTTAAATTTTATTTATACGCGGATGAATATTTATATATACACATGAAATGTAAATAATATATCACGATGTGCATATCTGATCTCAGATATATGCGTACTTACGAGTATACACGCATGTACGCAGCTTTTTTTAAAAACTTTGTTTTCATTATCTTTTTTACAAAATTTAGATAGTACGATTTTCTTTTTATTCATTCACAATAAGCCAATAATATGAAAGGTTTATTAAATTTAAAGTTAAAGTTTTATATTGTTTTAATGTTAAAATGCTTTCATTATTTATAAGTAGTGTTGGTTTTTCTATACGTAAATATTTGTATTTTTACGAGCATACATCGTGCTTACTTAGTACAGTATATACGGCACAGTACTTAGAAACATTGGAGTAACAGTAAGCCATTTTAGTCGGCTAAGTCAGCTAAGCCAACTAAGAGGATACGTGTCAAATTATGATTCAAATAATGATTCAAATCCCAACTTGGCGAACCTTGTTACAGAAAATAGCTGATGCTGAAATTTAGAGTCTCGATTTGAAAATAATATACTCTACGAACATTCACTTATAACTAATTATTAGTAAAAATCAGCCAATTTAAACATCAATTTATTGTTATAATGAGTATGGTGAAGAGATAAGTACTAGTATAGGCCCATTGGCTTTATCGATTAATTGATTAATCAGTTTTAATATCGAGCCGTTTTGAATTTCTAAACTTTCATTAAACCGAAACTTTTAGTTTACACATGAATTTAAGATTAAAATGATAAACTTATACTCAATCATTTAAATTAAATAGATGTATTGTACGTTTAGTAGAAATGAAAAGGTTATGTGAATGGAATAAATATTATATTTGATCCTTTATGAATTACCTGTCAAATATCTAACAGCTAATACTGTAATATTTAACGATAGTAAAAACTTTACAATTTTTTTATAATTCAGAATTTAAGAGATTACATTTATATATTTATTCATTAATCCGTCTTTAATATTTATTAATAATCATTAGATTTAACAAGCACGATACACACATATTATAAGGTTTAAGGCGTGGCTTTATTCAATTTTATATTAATCAAGGATTATTTAAAATAATGGTTTCGTATCCAAACTATGGCACAACTTTAAAGCTTCGTCATTTACTCAAGTCTACTCCCATTATAAGTGCTTTGACATTTATCGGAAATTTCACCTTTCATGGGAAATTTTACCTTTGTAGAGATTTCGCTTTCTCAGTTTCGCGATTTTCATCGGAGGTTTCGACTTTCGCGAGAGATTTCATCTTTGGGAGGGTAAGCTTAGGCTTTCGTCACAAATATATTTCGTCTAGCAACGCTAGTTGGATTATATAAATACGCATGAAATACACATATATAATTCGTCAACTTTGCTATTATATACTAAATAAACTTTCTCGGAGCGATATTTTATGTCTATTATACAATTATTACAAAGAACTTCTAGGAGTTAAAAATCTCTTCAAGAATTAGGTAATAATTTTATAATTCATATTAAATTCGATTATTTTAATTAAATAACTAAAAAATGTAAAAAAAAAATTCAACCATGACTAGTGGTGTAGACGTATTCAAAAAATTACAACCCAGATTACGTCACGGCATGTAGTAATAGCCGTCGTATTATTGCA